CAGGCTGGGGCTCAGCTTGTCTGGGCTCGGCCTCTTGGATATTATTTCAGAAGATCTGCATTGCCACCAGAGCAGATATGCAGAAAATCAATCCTGTGTTTCTTCTATCCAGTTCTGTATGGGATTCATGGATTTTTCTCCTCATTCTCAGTAATATCTGACAGTTAAAGTCTTTCCACCCAATCCTAGGATTTCCTGTAATGAAGGCTGTGAAGGACAGGAGAGAAGTTTTCCTTGCAAATGTGATTTTAAAAAGTCTGGTTTAACACAGAAACAGAAGCATGGTGATGTCAAAGAGGTGGAAAGATGTCCTTGCCCTCTAACTTTCTAGCTCCAGATGTGTAAAGAAAGAGAAAATTAAAAAAATAATCCATAAATTGGTGAATAACTTGTTTTAAAAGTTAGAAAAAGGAATATGCATAGCCAGTCAATCACATTTTGTTTATTTTTGATTGAATTTGGATAAATGTATGCATGCAATGTAATTGCAAAACATATTTGAATGATTCAATATTAAAAAAATGTACAAAGTGTCTTCACTTTTAAACAGTAGCTCTTGGTATTTTCAAACACAGATTGCATTCACCAGCAAAATTCAGTATTATCACAATTAAAAATGAAGGCAAGAAACCTTTTCACTGTTTGATGTGAGGAAAATGTAGGAAAAAAATGTTCTAGTTAGTTTTGTCCCTGTAGGCTCCTGTATATTTACCCTTCACCTTCCGCTTCATTTTATTTTTTTGTCTGGAGATGTGTTTTTAGTCAGCTGCCAGTGAAAACTACATTTGACCCTTACCAAGGATGAGAGCTTATTTTGTGTGTCAGTTATTAAGATCAGTTGAGAAGTTAATTTGAAACTGCAAATTTGCCCAGCCATGTCAGATTTCAGTAATCCAAAGAGCAGGTTCAGGCTCAGAAGCATAGCTGTTGCTGGGGAGAGGGGATTTGATCAAAATAGGAGATAGATATGCAGTGCCTGTACTTGCTTTAGTTTCCCTTTCCAGATCAGGCTCATAATTAGAGTAGTAGCAGACTTAGCTGATTGATGTGTTGACATGCCTGGATTTATTTGGTGCAGCAGCTGAGTGGACTTGGTGCCCTGCTCTGCAAGCCAATCCCTTACGTTGTCTATCCATCAGTCTGGTACATTGCTGTGTTCATCTGACAAATTTACTCTAATCATTTAGCAATTCATATCTCAAATGGACTAGGGAATTGTATCTAAATTTTCTGTAAAGGGAAACAATGGACTTGAGACTGTGCATGAAGAAATTTGATATGCATCAGTATTGTGAGAACACAAAGTACAAGATCTTAACAGGAGGCAGATTATGTTTTTGCTAATACATATGTGCACATGTATATTTATATGTATATATAAAGGATATAAAAAGGAGAAGTTAAAGTTGTGTTTTCCAAAGCCACTGTTGTAGTGGTTAAGGGCTATGGAAAGTATAGGGTGTGTCATACATGGGAGAGAGGTGCTGAGGAATTGCAAACTGGGGAAGGAGTGGTGGGGTTCAAATGAAGGAAAGAAGCAAAGAGAGCAGTGGTGCCTACTGAGAGATAGCTGGAGCATCTGGAGATGGGAGGCAGAGCACAGCAAACCAGAGGGTCAGGAATCAAGATGAATTGCTTTCTGTGCTGCACCTGACCCAGATTGGGACTGTCTAGGTTAGATTTTGCGAAGCTGAACTAGATCTGTCATGCAAGCTGTTATTTTCACAATGTTTCTACTTTCTCTATTCTTAGTAAATGCAGTTTTCCACAGCCTATGAGGCTTCATTGCGTGGTTTGGATATCAGTTGCTTCAGAAGCTTGTTCCCTGGCATCAGCAAGCAAAGCAGCTGAGGCTTCAGGCAGCCCAGGGCTGTGGCTGCAGAAGATGGGGGCTCAGCACAGCCCTCTGCTTCTAGAAGGGTGTGCAGAGGCCATCCAAACACCACCAGGGGAGCTGCCTTTCTAATCTGCCTCCTCTTGCTTGCCCTTCAAAAGAGTTATTCTTCAGTGCAGGGGAAGGAAATAATTGTTATCACTAGATATTGATACAGATTATTTAAAGATGGAAGATGTGGGTTAGTGACAGATTGTTTCAGAACATTAAATACCAAATAAAAAATACCATATAAAAATACCATGTGAAAAAATCTATTTAGATAACTTGCAAGTGGATTTGGAGAACAGAGAACTGATTTACTTGGCTTCAACCTAAAAACTAGGGAAAAGACCTTGTATTTTTCTCAGCATTTTTTGTTGGGTAGCTCTTGGCTATGTTGTACTAGTGTGTGAATTCCCTTTTTCTAAAGGCGCTCTCTGATTTATCTTCAAAGAGTATTTCTCTTGGTTCATTATTTTGACCTAAATTGTGTCTTTCATAGGTGACTGGGTTTTTTTAAATTTTATTTCTTCTCTGAAACCGTTTGCTCAAAATGGCATTTTTCCTCTACAGCTATTTTTCGTTAAGTATTCGCTATCCGAAGAAGCTATTGGCTATTTATCAATATTTGATCTCTCTGTAAAGCATACTTCTGTGGGGTGAATGTTTATTATGAAATGGTGTCTCTAAAGTGAATCTTATCTGTTCTTGATCTACCTCAGTCTGCCTCTATCTTCACTTGCATAGTGGCTTGAAGAAGTACTAAATCTCTCTATTTTAACAAAAGTAAATGCAGTAATTACAATAGCAAATACTGAACAGCAAAAGCAGATGCATTAGAATCCAGCACAATACAATTTCCAGCAGGTGCTTAGCAAAGAGCTTCAATCTGTGCTAAGTGTTTATAAGTATAAAAGAAGAAATCCCCTGCATTTCTTTAAAATGTAAATATCACAAAATGTGTTTTCAGCAAAATAAAAATAGTAAAATAAATAGGAGATAATGCCACGTATATTGACTACCTCTTTGGCAGTTGTTTGGTCATATCAGCCAGGCTAAACATTATTGAACCCAATGTACTCTTAATCCAACTCCTTTTATTTCAGTGATGAAACTGAAAAGACTAGTGATGAACCTAGACAGAAAAACATTGCAACACTTCCTTTATTATACTTTTTATTCAGCCTATGGGAGCTAAAATACTGATGCTGTTAGAGACCAAAGAGTTTTCATTAGGAGATGATAAAAGCAGTAAAAAAAAAAAAGTGGGGAAAAAATATTTTGAGGGCTTCTCTTTGAGTTTGAATGGAGGTACATATTAGGTGAAAAGGAAATTATCTTTAATGCAGGCTGCACATCCCACTAATGACAAAAGTGTTTCTTCCAAGAGTAAACTGAGGCCTCTGAGTTGGTTTATGGATATCCCAATAGACATGGTTGCATTACTCTGTCCTCTGCCCGCAGGCAGTCACTGAGAGCTTTTTCTGAGGTACTCTTGTTGCCATAGATAATTTTGCAATATATACGTAGAGAAAAATCAATGCCCTTTTAAAAATAGTTTGTTTAATGCATTTTACATATTGTACTTTCAATAGGACTAAGTATTTCTGGCAGCCTCTTAAGATATCCATTATTCATTATTCATTAGCTGAAATTTCAGTCTACCCAGAAAGTACAGCATTCAAAGGTCTTGAAGTTCAGGATGTGCTAGTATTTTTTAACTTTATTTTTCTGAATATCCAACTATAGATCAGTGTTGGTTTCATAGTCAAATGTTCAGCAACTGAATCATGATTTTTCTTTAGAAACAGAGATCAAATTTCAGGTTTGCTTTTTGTCTTGTAAGCATTTTGAATTCACTGAGAGTATATTTTGTTTTGCTTCACTGAGACTAATGAATCTAAAAATGTTATTTTATTTTTCTAGTATTATATATTAAGTTATATATTCTATAACTTCATTCAGAGTTCTACAGGTTCGAAAAACTTCCTTCATATAGGTAACTCATGAAAAAGTACTAAGTTTTCTCATTAGGTAGTTCTGGGCATATGCTGTAATGAGACAGATTTTTGTGGCTTAATTAATAGAAAAAGACCCCAAACCTTCCCTATTTGGAAAAGTGCACTTCAACATGCAATTCTGCATTATTGTAGATGCTAAAATTGTGTTGTTAGGGTTTTCCAGACCAGTGTGTCTCAAAGAGGAGTAATATTAGTCTGCTGCCACCCATGCCTGAGAGGGAGGGAACACAGGTTGCTTTGTATGCTCCTGTTCTTCCTGCTTGCTCTGAGGATGCCTCAGTACTAGTATGTTTTCTTACAAAAATTGTTGACATTTACTCCATTTCAGTATGTAATTATTAATTAGCATACTTTTGATAATATTATGAGGTTTTAGATGTAAATATGAAAGTTGAGACTGTTGAAAATACCCTGATTGCATTTGCATGAATAAAATTGCTTAACTGGTGTGTCAGCTGGGCTAGCTTTTGGTGCTGTCCAACCATTCACATCAAGATGAGATGATGTTCTTTGGTAACTGGAAGATGCTTTTTGCTGCTTTCTTTTCTAACTGAAAGGTATTTGTTGCTATTAATTGTTATGAAGTGAATCCTTGTCTGTATCCTATGAATTCTGTTTAAATATGTGCTTTTGATAATGGGGAAGAAATTTCAGACAACCAGGACTTCAAGGTTTTGATAAAATAATCAAGAATGGAAAAAAAATTATGGTATACAAATACTCACAGATCAGACCTACAGCACTGCCATTTGTCCTCCTCCCCTCATTAGTTAAGCTGTTTGTTACTGCCTCATTTGTATTATCTACTTTTGCACCCTGTTCTCACTAATCCTTTCCCCTGCATTTGTTTTTTTATGAGTTGTACAAGTACACACATTGTCGAGGAACCTGATTTTCAAGTGCTTGTACTATTAAACAATCACCAGTTAGGCAAGCTGCAGACTACAAATGTGATGATTTGCACTATTATTTTGGAAACATCTAAGGCTTTGTGAAAGTGCTTGTATTGACAACGTTTTGAAAACATGCATGTAATTCAAAATATGTGTTGGTAGCTAAAATGTTGTGTGTAATTCTTATGTGCCATAAAATATCTATTTCAGGTTTGCCAGAACCAAACAGAGACAGTGTATTCCAAGGACTGAGAATGAATCAAGGATTCTACACATCTAAAGACTTCTTACCTTTGGTAGCAATGGCAAGTAAACCAGGTGTGTGGTACTATGTTCTTGTTGTAATCACATTCAGTAAGTCATTAGCAGTTATTATTATATCAAACTGGCTACAAAGCAGCACATCCAGTTACAAAGTACCTTCCACTGAATATGTCTGGGACAGGGTTTTCTCTTGGTGAGGGGCAACCTCAGGAGCATGGTCAACAACGTTAGTCCCAGAGATTATTAACTAAAGAATCATGTATATAAACCTAAACTTACGGCAAATAATTTCCCCTAAAAATTTATATTTGTTATTTTGAATTATAATAAAGAGAGAAGCTTCTCCTCTATATGAAGTATTTTGATAAAAAGAGTATATATAAGATGGTTTGAAAAAATCTGATATTAAAAAAGATGTTTCTGACTTGTATAAGCAGCTGAATTGTAGATTGTTGATAAAGTCTATTACTTGATCCCGAGTCATATGCTGCACACATTTAAATCAGCACTGGTTCCTTACCCAGTAAACTTACAGTCTAAAACTCAGGACAACAGGAGTATGACAGGAGTTAATAAGAAGGTGCTCAGTTCATAGGCACCAAATGCAGTCTTGTTTTATGATTTCACATCTTTCTTTGAGCTCAGAGGTAGCTGCATTTGCTCCCTAAGGAGTACAGATGCTTTCAGTGTCCCTGAATATTAACTCATAAGCCCCAAATACGTGATTTCTATACCACATTTCTTCATGGTCTAGATTCCCCAGATAAAAAAGAAATTCATATACAGGGGTTCTTTTATTTATTTAGGACAGAGTGTGGTATTTTACATCTGACTTAATATAACTTGTTTTATCTACAAGTTGATTTTCATTGCAGCATTCAGAAATTTCTTTTAGCATCATATAGAATTGCCTGCTTGTTTAGTAAACTTTTCTTAAACAATTTGGAGGAATATATATTCTGGGGCAGATTATTCTGCTTATAAAAGTGAAATTTATTACCCCACTTGATGCAAAATATTTCAGAAGGGAAATTCTGCATCCAATCTGTCCCATCTCTTTGTTGTTTTCATCAAATGCTTATTTCTGTCTGTTTTCTTAAGCTCAAAGTAATCTTAAATTATTTGGGAGAAAGGGGTAAGGTTTTGAGTTTGCTTTTTGAAGGCAGAAATGCTTAAAAATAAAACAAATTGAGAATATGCAGTCCAACACATTTGTAGATTAACAAAGGAAATATAAATTCTGCAAAACAAAACTCTCTTGAAACATTTTGACTAAAAATACTTTGTAGAATTCTAAGATATGTAGCAGTTGCATACTGTAAGTCACCTGTCTGCATGAGGCTCTATATACTGTGATCCACATATTTCAAAATATTGCAAAGAAGCTCTCTTGATTAGCTAGCATATGTGATAATATGGGGTTTTTTATATTAAGTCTACAATGGGAAAAAGGATGAACTTGGATCACCTTTTCTGATTGACAGTAATAGATAGATCTTTGGTGTTGTCTGCTAATTAACATGGACTCTTTTACTTAATTTTACTGTAGCTAAAGCCACCTTTTGCTCTTTAAGGCATGGAATTATAAAATAAAATATACACATACTACATCCTACTCTATCCTCCTTTTTCACTGTGACAGTTATCTAAATAATAGACATAATAGACTTATTCATGGTGAGATATGTATTCTGCCTGCTTATTAATTCTGAATGCCACTTGTTAATACACTTTCCTAAAAAAGGGTTTCCTCTTGCAAATACATTGCTGTGAATTTACCTCAGGAGTGTGTTCCCAAGAGCAAAGCAGGCTGCTCTGACTGATCCCTTCTAGACTCACACTCTAATGGCACTCTGAGCTGCCAGCCCCCTGCTTCATTTGTGCTTTTTCCACTGCTCAATTTGTATGGACTATTAAATTCACTAAAAATAAATGAGAAAAGTTTAGAGAGAATTTTAGACTGAGAATCTTAATAAATAAATAGTAAATGTGACACCACATACATGGGTGGGGGGGAATTTATATAATTTGTCATTTGCATTTGCAAAATGCATTCATTAAGCATTTTTCAAGTGGAAAGAGAATAGGTGTATTAGGATGTTGTTTCTCACTCTGCTTATATGTCTAAATGAAAAGGATTGTTTACTTCAGTAATACTTGTGTCCCACAATTCCATGTGAAAATCTGCTGTAGCAGGATACTTGAGTTAAAGTACAGTAGGTAGATGGCCAACTTAGTGCCTCCTGACTGGAACTGTCCCGGACTCGTGAGAATATAGCTTTGTATTATTTATGTCAATATTTTTCAACCATTTGTCTAATCAACAGTTCGTTGTTATGATGATGTTATGATGTTATATATCACTTAAACATGTGATAAAAATGCAGTCTCATCCAGGGAACAGACACAGTTCAGTTTTACTTAACTATTTCTTCTTTAATTGAGTCATTAAATACAAGCTGTAAATGATAAATACATAAATGTTGTCATTTTCTCCATGTAACTTTTTACAAATTATTTATAGAAAACTAGTGTAGATTAAACATTTTCTTCCAGTAGAAGAACTAGGAATTATTGTAATAATATTATTTTCCTTCATGTTCAGCTGATGAATAGCCTCAGAGAACCATGTCACCACCAGAACAGTGTCAGTGCGTTATAGAAATCTGAGGGGACTGATGTTGGTATACTACCACACAAAATTGTAACTAATAACAACTGGTCATCCTTTTTTGTTGTCGTTTTGTTCTGATTTGTTTCATTGTTGTTGTTGTTTTGGGTTTGTTGTTTGTTTTTTTTTTTTTTTAGCTGGTGGATAATGAATCTGATGGGAGAGAAACTTACTTTTTGAATAAAACAGTCTCACAATTCTAGTTTCAGTCTGCCATGACCCACAATCCTACAAATATGTTGTCATTTGAATTCTTTCTCAATAGAAAGATGCAGCTGCTTAGAGTACTGACTATGAAATTATGTATATGAGCATATCTTAAAAGGGGGAATAAAACTGTCTTTCAGTGGAGCAGAATAATTTGATAGTGACACTCCATGCCTGGAAACTGTAAGATGCAATTTTACACTGCTTTGAGTACAAGTACCTTTTGAGCTGTCATGCAGAAATGGTTTCTCTACTTGAAAATGGGGTTTTCCTTTTATCTTTCAGGGATGTGTGCCTGTCACTCTCCATTGCCACCAGTCCATGGAACTGTGATTGTACTCGGAGCAGGGGACACTGCTTTTGACTGCGCAACGTCTGCTCTGCGCTGCGGAGCTCGTCGCGTCTTCGTGGTCTTCAGGAAGGGATTCACTCATGTCAGGGCTGTCCCAGAAGAGGTAAAATTCAGTAGCAGCATTTCTGAGAAGGCATCTTAGGTATTTCTATGTGGCCTGAAAGCGTGCTACAGGTACTTAGCAGATATCTGGTAAAGGTTTTGTTTATAAAACCTTTATTGAAATGTATGAATGTTTATTAAAGATCTGAGGCTCACTTTGTATACTTTGTATTTAAATAATTTTCTACTGTTGTATGTTCCCTGACAAGGCAGAGAGATGTATTTGCAACCAGGGAATAGAATTTTTTGTAAGTTAGGAAATTAACTAAAATTTTCAATGTGGGAATCAAATAGCCATTAGAGTATTGTAGTTATCTCTTCAGATCATGATTAGATTCTATGATGATATCTTCTGGCTGTTGTTTAAGGAAGCTCAATGATTCTGACATTGCCTTGTGAGCCTATAAAAGGCTTTCTTTCTTTCCTTTCTTGCTGGTAAGAAAATTACTTACAGTGATTTTGGCTTTGAGTCACTGCCAATGATAGTGAAGCAATGCTATTCATCCCATATTTCAGCATTCTATTTGGTTTTTAATTTGGCTTTGTACTTTGGCATTTATTAGGTCATCTGCACATTTTGAAATTATTCTGCTTCCTTAATTTATATGTGCTACAGGAGGGTTTTTTAAGATTTTTCTTTCTTATTTTGGTGGTCTTTTTCTGTGCATTTATTTGGTACATTACACTTTTATATACGTGGGACTAGCACACCATCTAATGCATCTTTATCATTTGTAGCAGTAGTTGGTTGTCTGTTTCAAGAATGTGGCACCTGAGATCTTCCAGAAGGGAACTGGAGCTGCAAAGAAAGTAATAGAGGGTTTCTAGTAAATCTTGCATGATTTACTTCTGTTGCACTTCAGTCAAGAGTTCTAGACACAATGAGATTACTGAAGCCATTGCACAGCCTTTAATAGAAGCCTGGGTAAATTTCTAAAAGTTGTCAATTTTTGTACTCATCCAATCATGCAGTGAGCCTTGAAAACAGTAAAATAAAAGTAGCTTTATTTAGTAATGGCCATGATAGAATCATGTCAGGTGGGATATTACATATTCAAAATATTGTGTAAATAGAGACAATCAAATTCTGAAGATGATTGACTTAAGCAGTTTTACCACAGCAGAAGATCTTAAGTCTGTATTGTCGCTCAGAAAAATGTTTGTACATGGTGGTCAGCATTTAATAAAATCTTAAAATCATAGTAAACACTAATCACGGCATGGATTAAGTTAATATTAGGCCACTTCTTAAAAGATATTTATGTAAGAGAAATCTTTTGCCCTCAAAGAAGTTAAATATATTCAAAGTAATGAAAACATAAGAAAATATATTGGAGTAATATTCGACTTCAAAGTTTACTTACTGCCACTGCCTGATTTGATAGCATGAGAGACTCTGAAGCTGACAGGAAGATGACTGGCTGCATACTGGACATGGCTGATTTCTGCTATAGTAGAATCCATGGTAACATCTTGAGTCAAAAAATGTTTCCTGGTTGGTTTGTTAGGGGTTTTTTCCCATGAAAATGCAGCATGTTAAAGTTATATATTTTATTGCTTCTACTCCACAGATGGAACTTGCAAAAGAAGAGAAGTGTGAATTTCTGCCTTTCCTCTCTCCTCGGAAAGTTGTTCTTAAAGGTGGACAAATTGTTGCTATGGAATTTGTTCGAACTGAACAAGACAGCGAAGGAAACTGGAAAGAAGATGAGGATCAGGTTGTCCGTCTGAAAGCCAATGTGGTGATCAGTGCCTTCGGCTCTGTCTTAAGTGACAGTAAAGGTAACTCTGACTAATGCAGATACAGACTGTTCTTTTAGCTGCATGTCCTGTCCTTCAACAGGTTTGTGAAATGAGTCTTCTGGAGGTTACTCAACTTGTGACTGCTGGTCCTCTTACAAGGGTTTGTCTTTCAGGTGCACCTTTTAGAAAAAGACTTGGGGGTCTGGTAACTAAGCAGTTCTCTGCATATTGCTGTATAGAGCTGGAACTCAGCATTGAAGTTCAGTTCCTCAGCATATATTTTCCTTCTCAGTGCAAGTGGGATCTCAAAGAAACTCTTGGGAATTTCTTCTGGTCTCATTAATTAACTCTAGAGAAACTCATTATGTTACATCTTTAAGCGGAGCTGTTCTGATCTCTGAAATATCTTTTTTTTTTTTTTTTAATTTCGCAAATTAAACAGGCATTGAAACATTCATTATTCTGGTTCAGCTGGTCTGGGTATTACTTATTTCTTGTGCATATACAAGAGAACTGAGACTTCTCTCTTACACAGTATTTCTTAGTTGCACTTTACAAGGTTCAGTCTTAAAAATTAGTGATTACTTAATTCTGTATTAAAGATACAGAAATTGGTACAGAGATTGGATGAATTGTCTCCATTTAGCAGCGAGATCAACATGAATACAGTCAAGAGCATGGGAACTGAGCAGTGTTAAGACTGTTCTCCTCTGACACTAGGTAGATTTTAGGAGTTCAGGCACCTACATTGAATGTGCCTCAGAATAAAAACACTGACTCAGCAGAAGACACATTGATACAATGAGAAGGTCTTGCTAACCTAGATGGTTATACAGATTAGCAGGTTCTGAAAGCCTTGGTGAGCAATGTGCCTGCCTCTCCTGGGCATGGTCATACCAGCCAGTTAACCCATGACTTGTCATGGTCCTGTTGTCATGGTCCAGAGCATAAATGCTCTGACAGAGGACTTGGCAAGTGCCTCAGTTTGCACAAGACCAGGAGATTTGGTATTCAAAATTTCTCAGCGTAATGTATTTTTGTGAATCTTTGCAATCAAGTAAAATGGTAAATCCTCAGTGATGTGAGCAGGCTCTAAACCTGAATGAGGTACTCAGCACTGCCTGCTCAGCATCCAGTTGTATAGAATGGCAAACCATCCTGCTACCATGAGAGGACTCTAAATCCTCTCAGCCTGGTATTTTGAGGAACATGTGAAGTGAATACCAGGAGCATTCCTATCTTCTATGTGCTACTAATGCTTTGGGGGAATTTCTTGCATCCTAGGCTGTTTCTAGACAGTGACTGCTCCCAGCTCATTACTCAGTACTGCTTGCTGGCCTGCTGCTGCCTCCTGCTCTGCTGGGCACAGGAGAGAACAGACTGCCATTCCTCTTGGAGCTGTATTGCTGTGGAAAGACTGGCATTTGTGTAGGTCATATATTAGGGCTCAGTCTAACCTCCAGGACACAAGAAGAGGAAGATTAAGGGTTTTTTTTAAGAGATTCATTAACTACTCTGATGCTGAGAATTTCGGCAAATTTTGTTAGTTTTGTGGGAAATTTTGCTTTTAAAACCCTGTGTTTAGGTTTTTTGGAATGGTTTCTAGAATCGCATGAGGTAACTCAATATTAACCTATTCAGTCAATATATTTTGTTGTGATTCATAGACCCCATGATACAGGAGTGATTCTGTTTTCTCCCACGTTAAAAATTATCTCAACTAAAAGATTGAACTTACCTTGCTAAGCAGCCAGTAAGTACTGTGCCATAGTACTGTGCCAGTCTTGTATTTCCTAGGGCACATTCACAGTCTAAATTAATTGTTGAGAGGTTTTAAAACACGAATACAAAATGGGAGGGGAATTGTCATGCAGTGAGCTGATCATGAGAGAATAGAGTCATTTACTTTGGGAGTGAGCAAAACACCTCAGTTTCATGCTGTATTTTGGGTGAAACTGCTGTTAGAAGAGCAATCAATAAAAAGGAAAAATGCAAGTCATTTGTTTTGGATGTTGTAAGAGTGAAAAGAAACTAAGACTTGAGTGCATAAAGTACTTATTTTGAGCATATAATTTCAGTTGCCTATAAGTCCTTTTTTTTTAAAGCTGTATTAATGAAAGTCAAATTTGCTTTTCACCATTGAGCTGGATTACAACCAAAACTCCAGACTACTTCAGTGTACATAACAAAAATAAATGAAAAAGAAAAAAAACCCACCAAAACATTTCTTAATGTTTTGGTGTGTTTTTCTGTTTTTGTGGTTGATTGTTTTTTCTAAATTAAGTACACTTCTGTATTCAAGATAAGAAAATATTCAGGTATTCCCCATAGGAAGATGGAGATGAAAATACTTGAGTACTCAAAACTGGAAAATGCCATGAGCAAACTGATTGGACTTGGAACTTGATCTAACTTTGAAGGGAATGGAATAGGCAACCTCGAGAGGGCCCTTCTGGTCTCAATTATTCTGTGACTGGGTGACTCAGGTGCAGGTTGAATAAACATGTTAATTGCTGCTCATACAAAGAACTCTGTCAATTGACCTAATTCACGAGGCACCTCGGGGAACTGCAAATGTAGTATTGGTATGGGCTAATATAGCAGGTTATATCCTATAAAAGCTGGTTCTACTGATAAAACAATAAAGACAATACTGTCAAAACCTGAGAGATTAAAATTAGATATAGCCCCAGTTCAACAAAGCGTTCAGGGCAGCCTTGATGCTCGTGTTGGAAAGTTTTGTAAGAAGCCATAAGTGTGTGGGTGACTGAGCAGAAATAGCTCATAGGTTAGAAAGTTTTTTCTAGTCTATTATCCTCAACAAGATGTTTCCTATTCTTGCATGGCAACTATTAAATTTGCAACTGAGATTCCATGCATTCACAATAGGTATTTAGTCTTTTTTGTTTTGTTAATATAAAATGATGACGGTGTTTTTTGAGCAAAAGTTGTAGTGGATATTCATCCTCCCATAGGGAATCATATAAATGCATCACTTACTTTAAAAAATTGACTCCTAGTTCCATTTTGTGTTCCTGGAGTTGCTTATAGTTGAAACAGGGGTGTTGCCTACTAGACTGTTTCAAAGTTACTATTTTACTAAAACCAGTAAAAAACCAGCCCGACAAATTGTTCAAATCCAGCTGCTGCAGAAGGAGTAAGAAGAATGTTTTGCTTCTCCTTGAAGAAAAAATTTTTTGCAAGTACAAGCTGCTTTATTTTAACTGCAAACCCTACCAGAGCCTTCAAGCCATCGTAACTGACCCACAAAAATAAAGAACTGTGAGAGGAATTTTGTGCTTTTCCTTTGGCTATTGATTTTTCCTTAGTTTGTTATTTTTGAGGCTTACAGTGTGCTAGTGAATTACTGAAATGTCTTCTGTCACCATTCCTAATTGCAACTACTTAGCATATACACTTAGAGTTCTGTGTGCTCCCTCACACTGTGTTCAGCCTCTGCATCCTGCTTAACACCAAGTCCCATTGGTTTTAAAGTCTGAACTTTGAATAACCCTTTTCTAATCCTTCTGATAAGCAAAGGGAACAATGCTTTAGAACTGCAAAATTTTGTAACAAATGCCCTACTTTGGATTTATTTTCTTGAATTTCCAATAAGAACCATGGAAAAAGTATGGAATAGTACTGAAAATGCACTACAAAATTCAGTGCAGAGCAAAAGACTAAGCCAGGATAGGGGGCTGGCAACCTAATTTTATTTTGATCCTCTGTTTAGCAGGCAGCAGCAAAGAGGAAGAATTCACATATAACCAGAACACTGAATCTTAGCATGATAATAATGTCTGTTTTATTTTCTTGGAGCAACAAAAAAGAGAAATGAAAAAATATCCAAGCAAAATCCAAGTATCACCTTTATAAAAAATCCCAGAAGTAGTAAGTTATTTGTGAGCTAAAATATGTTTTATGAAAATGTTGGTAGTAGGTAGGTATTGCATCACTGACTGAAGGGCAAAATTTATTTCATAATTCCAGGAATCAGTCATAACTTTCAGATATTTTGCTTTTACTTTTAGTACAACTGTCATCTTTCTTGGAAATTGTAGTGGCAAACCCCAGGCTTACTGCTCCCCTAGAATAGTTCAACATACAATAAAGATAACATTTCCCAAGTTGTTTACAATTTTATGCTTTAACCCACTCATAGTTAATTTTTATGTCTGCAGTTTGAGAAGCATTTGCTAGGGAACAAAAGAAAAAAAGTTTGCAGAACTCCGACCTCATAAGTGAAAAATATTTTAATTTTCATTTGATCAAATATAGAACTCCAAATGGCACAGAAACCAGGAGTTCTGGAACTTGGAAGGACTGTTGAGTTTTCTTTATAGAACCTACTCAGACAACTGGGTAACTTTGACCTCAGAGCACTGAAGCCTTGACTATCTAATGAAAGAGTAGAGGGGAGGAGGGGAACTGTGATACCCCAGCTGGGAATGCCCTGGCATCTGCCTGCTAGTACAGCATCTGCCTTGCACCAACAGGCTTTGAGGCACCAGATTTATTTAAAAAATTGTTATACAAAACTTAAATTTATATATGTTCAAAAGAGTCCTATTGAAATAGATAGGAGTTTTCCTGCTGAGTCACTTGGAATAGGATTTTTTCTCCACAAATAGGTTTATTGAATGAGTTTGGGTGCAGCAGTTTCATGCTCTGAAATTATTACCCGTTCCCAATATCAAAAAGTGACTTCATGACGATTTCTAAAGCCTTGTTTACTTGGGGCAGAAATTGTACTCTTTGAGTTGATGCACATCAGACACTTCAGCTTGCTGGTGACAGAAAATAAAATCATTAGCAGCTTGCAGCAGGACCCTGTCCCACTGTAACTGGACCCAGCTTTATCCAGTCAAACCACTTTTTAATCCTATGCAGGACAGTAGTGGGGTAGAATGTTGGAAGCATGATTGTGCCTTTCTTTATTTGCTGGGCATTTAGACTGGGCAGTGTCAGCAGTTAATCTGTTAGTACATGTGACAGCTGTAGTTATACATTTCAGATTAAGAAAGTTACTGTAGATTTGTATTTTTCAGAAGTAATGCTACTATTCACTTTAAAGGAATTCTGTAAGATGGATATCAAAAATAACATTAATGAGCTACTAAAGCTAAAATTATAGGAACTTAACAAATTGGTTTAACATAAAAACCATTAAACTGTTTATTGAAGCTTCACAGATATACTGCAGCTAATGAGCATTTCTGCTATTTAAATAAGCCCAAATTGAACACACATTACATAGATGCATAATTAGTCATGGCAGTCACACAGAGACTCACTTTTAAAGCTTTATTTGAGGAATCTTTTCCATTTGATTTGTTTCGTTAATTAAAATATTTTTTCTGTATTCACTTATATTTTAATATTGTTTTTGCAAATGCTATAATTTGCTACTGTGTTTCCATTTGTGTTTGTTTGCTCTGTGAATATAGCGAATTTGGAAAATATATTCAGCTCTTCCTTTTGTTTGGTGTTATTTGTGTTAGCATCACTTGATAGCGGTAGAATAATTAAATTGTATGTTATCTTTCATCCAGAAGGATCTTTTCAAATGATATATAATATCTCACTAGGCTGGGGAGGAGATTGCAGCGCAAACACAGGATTGTCGTTTGAATTTTCAAGAAAAAAGATATGTTAGTTTTAAACTTTGAAGACTGAAACTGAGAGGGTGAAGGTTTTTAAGGGTACTCTTTACCTCTGTCCCAAATCATGCACCAACATTAAATACCTGGTTTGCTTGTTCAGTGTCAAACACCAATTCAGAGAACCAATAGTTCAAGCTCTGATTTGGCTCTTGGGCTCTCTCTCACCCTTGCAGGGGCAGAGAAGGGACTTTGCTTTCTGAAAAGTTCTCCCCTGCTTTGTGCAGGAGGTCTGGGAGGTGCTGCCTTCAGCCTCCCAGGTACACCAAGTATCAGATCCACATTGTGAGGATTTTAGGAGCTCTTATATAAAATGCTTTTGAACCATGCCCTTTTTTTATATAACCTAAATCTTGGAGATTATAAGAAAGAAATACATGGCAGTTGGATACCGTGTCAACCTTGCCACCAGGGAAGTGGTTTTTCTCGATTTTAAAAATACTGATCAGGCAGACAAATCCCCAGGCCTGGAGAGATGTTTCAGGTGAAGATATGTTGGGCATTCTTCACACTCAAAAAGCTTTTGGTATAATTATGTCCAGACAGCTATTTTAGAACAAAGCAATTCAAAGAGATTTGAGAAAAGTATTAGATATAGGACAGAAGTAATACCCTATTTTTCCACAAGATGAAATAAGTAGTCAGAACTCCAAGTTTTACATAATTTCTTTTGAAAAACTACATTTTTGACAGCATGTTGTCCTCAGACACCTTTACTGTGGTTCAGTCCTGTCTAAGACAGAAGTCATCTATTGAATCCCCACTACGAAATCCTGCAGTACCAAGTTTTCCTCTGTTTTTTTCCAAACATGTCTTTACAAGCCTGTACATATTTAACTTGTGAGAGCCGTCTAGACCACATGCTGAGATGGCACCACTGCATGCCATAAGTTATCCTATATATGACAAATATAAGATGATCAAAAGCTTTCTTGAAGTACAGACAGTCTGAGGCACAAAGAGAAAGTTAATGTATTGATTTCTGAAGGATTTTTGATAAAGCTGCTATCATCCAACTCTTTCCTTTAAAAAAAACCCCATACAAACAGAAAAAGCCCAAACCCAAACAAACCAAACCCCTAATTTTCCAGATGAAAAATGTCTCCGTTTGAAAGTTGTGTTCTATGTGATCTTTCAGTAATTTAGATATTTTTACAGGAAATAATTTCTTAAGTTTTTGAGTTTGTTGCTACCCAAATATTATTTTTGTTAACTTAAGCCACATGTATGTGCCAGGTGGGAGAGACTGTGCAGGCAATAGGTCTTGCAGATAGATTAAGTACTTCTGGTAGAAAATATGCTACAGGATTTCAGCTTAGAACTGTCTTCTCTGACTCAGGCTTCTGAACAAGTTGCAAAAAATCCTTTGAATTTGAGTCCTCTGGATATGTTTGTAAATGCCAAGGTTGAGGAGGAGAGTGTAGGTGGGACAAATAAGTGACAGTGTTTGCGCCTTGCTTCCTGTTTAATAATTTTGCCCCTGATTATACATATCCTCCACTTTGAAATGCACTTCTAATATATGATTTGGCGGTGAAAGGAGACACAGAGCCTTGGATGAAAATCCCATCACTGTGATGTGTGGGAAAGCTGTGTTTGAAGCTTGCTCTGTACTGAGTTGTGTGCTGGAACAATACTATGACTTTGCCCTTTGTGTTGGAGAAGTCTTCATCTTAAACTGGCAGGTTTCTCTTTTACATTTATGACAGTGCAACTACATCAGTTTAATTGACCTTGGCAATCTGCATCTGCCAGTGGTATGTCCCTGAGGGACATTGCAATTTTAAACTGCATTTTATTGCAGCATGTTTGGTTACTGCACACAAAGCTATATAGCCCCCCCCTCCCCGTTTTGATAGATGCCATCAAAATTTGCTAAAACTATTTATTTAAAAGATTATTCTCTTTATCAAGCTACTTTGAAGTGCCTTATGAATGTAGAAATTTAAAAAATATTAACAGAATATTCTTTATGTGTATTTAATGATATTTATATAATGCCATGTGGTATAAAAATATTTTTTTATTTTCAAATCTACATTATTTGGAGGACAATAATATTTCATGTGCAAAATGACTATATGTGCTGTTTTCTAACAGCATGGTAAAGATCAAGATCTTTTAATACATGCTCTAAAAAAATTCAGAAATTGTAGTGAAAAGATACAAAATATATTGTCTTTTTCTAACCATTTAATTTTGATTGTGCTTTTATGATATTATTCTTAATATGTGTAACAAGTTTTGAAGTGAGCCTTTCTTCCAGGATGTTCTGAGTTTGAATATTAAGTCAGGATGGCTTTGACTTTAATGAGAGATAATTTCTTATTGTTATCAGCATATATTTGACAGATTTTAGCAACAGTTTTTTCTCTCTTTTATTAACATATTTGTCATTTATTTAATTACAGTCAGAGAGGCCATGGCACCTATCAAGTTTAACAGATGGGGTCTTCCTGAAATAGACCCAGAAACGATGCAAACAAGTGAGCCCTGGGTGTTTGCAGGGGGTGACATTGGTGGTCTTGCCAACACTACAGTGGAATCCGTGAACGATGGCAAGCAAGCTTCCTGGTACATGCACAGATACATCCAGGTGACTTCTTCAAAAGTATTTTTATCTTTCCCAGCTTGATCTGCCTTTAGATACTTCAAAAATATTTTCATTGTGGTTTTGATTCATTATACAACTTTTGAGAAAAAATACATAGATTATCTGGTGACTAGAACATTACATATTAATTCATCTTGTATCACATATTAGAGTTTGGGTAGATGAACTCAGCTTTCTTGTGTTTTCTTAACACTAAAATTCAAGCAACATTTTCTTGGCCCCAGCTCTGAATTCCACTCAAGGGTAGTAAGCCTCTCTGCACAACAGACACTGCGAGCAGAAGCCCTAATTGGGTAATTGGGGAAAAGGAGTGAGCTCCTAGGTATTAAAAAGTTAAATCTTCCAGTAGTGCATAAAGTAAAAATTAACTACTGCCAGTGTTGTTACCTGGGGAAGACATTTTTAGTTTACTAATAGTTTACAGAACGCTCAGGTTATCTACACTGGAACCTAAGCTTGCTCTGATGAGACTGATAAACTGGATACAAGAGCTTGACAGAAACTAAACATTAAATGCACAGAGGCAAATAATGCAAAGGAGAATTTACCTGAGAAATGTAATATGTACAGACTTGAAAAACCTGGTAACCGCATGATTCCATTTGGTTCTCCTTGCATGTTGCTGACTCTGCCCTAATTTTTGTAGTAGATGAGCACAAAGTCTAGAGGAGCTGAATAGAAACCTCCCGAGGCAGAGACACAACCTGGAGAACCAACTGACAAAAAGCGTGTTCGTAGTGCAGGGGACTTTTAAGAGACATGATACATGATTCATTCTCCCACATAAAGAGATTTGAACAACTGAAGTTGGGACTGTAACAGCTCAATGTCTTTCTCCCCCATCCATCTGCTCAAAGCCTCTCTGATTGCATGTTTGTGCAATTTCATGCTGTTGGGGTCTGATTTCACTTCCTAAAAATACTTCAACTGAAAGCTTGTTGTTAGTATCTGTGCATATTTTTTCGCACTTGTTCTAAAGCACTGTTTGTGTCCTGCCTTCTTAGACCCTATGAAAATGCTGAGTGTGAAACATCTTTAATCCCTGACCTGCTTGCTTAATTTCTCAATGCACAGTGATTTTGGGTAACTGTGGTAGAGGAGAGAAGGTATCTCCTCCTTTGTGTCTCCTTATTCAACCTCTTAGAAATACAGGCCACCCTCCCTTACCATGCTGCTTCCTCCACAAAGCTTTTTTTTTTTTTCCCTCAAGAATGTATTTAATACTTTGGAAAAAAATCTGAATAGTCATGGCTTGAGAATTAGAATTTTAAATCAAGCAGACTTGTGATATTAGAGCATTTCTGTTACCCTTTGCAGGTTTCAAGGCAGCTTATTCAACCTTACAGTCTCACCAGGAAGCTAATGGGAAAGCCTTACAGCAATCTTCACAGGAAAGTTTCCAAATGTCAAGTGTCACCTTTCCAGCTGTTAGATGAATGGGTTGCCCAAGGGCATTTATTTGGATGTGCAGCCCTTGTAAAATCTGGTTGCTGTGGTGCAAAATGCTGTAATTTGGCAATTTACTTCACCAGTGTTTGGAGGTGGTAGAAATTTTAGTGTCTGAAGGAGTTTGTTTTTAAAGAAGTTGTTTAGAAAAGGATAAGAGAGGATTGCATTGCCCTGCTGTTTATAGGGACAGGTGTGTGCACGTGTGCCTGCCTTTGTGCTCGTGTGTGTGCACATGTACTCCATTCACAGCTGAGCTTTATTCTGGAAACTTCCCAAAGCAAATGAAAAAATACCCTTGCACACCACCTTACTTTCTGCTGTGAGATTCTAAAGCAGGCAAACATCCTGGGAACTGAGTATCTGAATCAAGTACACATTAAACTTTAAATAAATGCATTGATACTGTCTATGTTTCAGTTAAGAAGTAGGTAGCCATTTCCAAAATCACTGACTATCTCAGCACCAGGATCTATAAATGATGCAGTCAGTCTTCATCAAAATAAAACTATTCCTAGGATTTCTCAACTAGTCCAAGACAATGTCAAAGAGTGCAACTCAAACCCACCATCCTGACTACTTGCAGAATGCAGGCACGCTGCTTGTATCCCAACCTACTCCAGGCAAAAGGCTAAGGGAACAGATGGGGCTGATATGTGCCCTGAAACTCCAGTCACTGCAAGCTCTGGCACATGGTCAAGTCAGGCGTGAGATCCAGACTCCAGGACTCTTCAGCAGAAATGCCTTATGTTCAATACTGAGAGTTATTTACAGAAGCTTCTTGGCTGCTCTTACGCTGGAAACTTTCCATCATTAGTTGCCTAAATATCTCCTGTGTCTTAACATATTCTTCCCACTATATGAGGCATAAGTTCATCTCAAAAATTGTTGCCTGCAGCTGTGTCAGGTTAGTTTCTATAAACATGACCCGTCAAAGCCTAACTAAGGATAGCTGTAGTAGAACCTGTTAGGAAATACAGTCTTCCTAGAACAATTCCTTGCAAGTCTTTAGAGATCCAAACAGAATCAGCCCAAGTCATCCAACTTTCTACTACTCACGTTTTCTCACAATTCAACCTTCTTTTGTTATTCTGTGAATGACATAAAAATTTCAGTTAAATCATCTTAGTGATTTATTTAGCTTGGGGATTTTAAGCCTTCGCTTTTGTCCAATGGTGACTTTATGATCCTGTGCAGAAGCAATGCAGGCTGCTGTGCTCTTCTAGTCCTCAGTTACCATTCATTTATTTTTGAGCAGTGAATGGATTTAATAGTATAATAGTTTAATATTCAGAGTAACTCACAATTATTGCAGGATTAACTTTTAATTTTCTATGCCTATCTTGAGAGCAAAGACAGTTCCAGTATTTTCGTCTTGAATGACTGTGCCAGTCCTAATGCTTCACTCCTGCTCTATTCATACACTTACCTGTGAGCTATTTTCCCATATATGACAGTAAAGCTTGCATTTTCTTCTCACAAAAATCCCTCTTTAAAAGTCACTTTTGTTTCTAAATCACAGTAAGTTTTCATTTATTTAAATCTATTTTCTTCTTTACTGTAACCTTCCACTGTGGAAGTTTCTTTTTTATTTTTCCTAGACTGAAATGTACATGATACCTTTAGAGAATAGAGGCCTAGATCCCAACTGATATAAATTGCACTTCACTAAGACATTATTCAAGGTGAATTTTAAGCATATCACAGTGTTATTTTGAACCACAATTGTATATTTTCTATTTTTTTCTTTACCTATGCTGTCAGAAAATATATGGGCTTTCTCTCTGAATGGTATAGTGTTGATTCTTTATCAGGATTGACCATTCTCATATATTCCTTGTGCATGCATGAATATGCATTATTTCATAATCAATACCAGAATTGAGAGGTTTCCAGGAAGCTTGAATTTGAAGCCATTAGTTATGTTGTCTGTTTCTTTTCAGGATAACTGCAGGAAAAAAATGAATGTACCTTTGTTTAGCTAGAACAACGTATGAAACACTAGCAGGCAGCAATAAAGCACCATTTGCAAAAAAGGTGGATTAAAGACAGGTTCAGGAAGCCTGGTAGTTTAGTTACTTGCCCCTGAATAAGCAGTGTGTCTGTTACAGAGAGAGAAAGCCAGAAAGGAGCTTAGAAAATCTCTGTCAAAGAGGACAGAGCCCTGAGTAAACCTGCTGTAACAAGGATGCTGGACAGGACAAGTCCCCACATGTCTTTCCAACCACAACCATTCAGAGATTGTATGAAATAATATAAACATACTTACCACAAAGTTAATTAATGGAGAGAAGATAGCAGAAGCAAGGGAGAAAAGACATGTTTTAAGATCAGACTTCAAAATGGAGAAAGCCAGAGTAAGATGGAAGCATTCAGGAAAGCTCTTCCAGGCGCTAGGACTTGTGGAGAAGGCTCTGTGTGAAAAATAACAGTAATACAACTACTTGCTTTCACAGTCCATCTTTGTTAAAGGCCAGAAAATGTAGTTAGACCATATCACTCTGGTTAGGAATTTCTTCATCTAAAGAAAATTAATGTCAAAAATTGCATCAGGTCTAAGGCTGAGTTCCTGTCTCTCAGCCCTGCTCTGCAGCTCCTGTGCTTTTGCCCTCAGGCCAATCCTTTACCCTGTTTAGGGTGAAGTAGACCCACTGCTTGCAATGTGCTGGGGATTTTTCACCGCTCTGTTCTGGTCTCCAAAAAATTGTCATGATTGCAAGAAGTACCTGTAATATTGGTAGCTCAGCTGGTTGGTATCAAATTAAGAGGAAGAATGGACCACACTTTTTATCCTCTACTTCTGAAAATCAAGAGAAGAGTTATTATAAATACTCTTGCCTGCAGGCTTTCTTTTCCTATTTGTTTGTGCAATGTCAGGGAAATCCTTCATTATAAAGATTTTTTTTTGTCTTGTATAGGATATATTTTCTATTTTACCACAGATTTGATATATTTTCTATTTTACCACAGAAAGGTCACTAAGAATCACTTTCAAGCAGCATTCATTTTAGGTGAGAACAGCTTTTAGAGATTTAATTGTCCTGCTTAGGCAAAGCAACAGTACAGCGGAACTTCAGCTTCATATTCAGCACTCTGCCCGTTTGTCTATAGCAAATTATACTTACAGTTGTACAAGCTGTGAATTGTTTGTGATCAATCCTCAGACTGAAATCTAATCACAGAGAACATTTGAACAATTCTGAATAGCAAATTAATTCAAAGTAGAAAATTGGATTTATTGCTCACAAGTGTGCAGAGTGGAGTTGACCAAACAATTTTCCTTAAGTCTTTCTTTGATGTCATTCTGCAAGAATGAAAATCAAAGAGTTTATTGTAAGAGTTCAGTATATCAGTGTTGATTTCTGCTGATTTTGAAATCAGCAGATTTTGTCACTTTCAGATATGTAGGAGACAAAAAATGCTAGTATTTAAAAAATGCTTTAATTTGAATTGTATGATCCAGGATTTTCTGGTTGGGCATTGCAAACAACATTTTGCAATTTAACTATTAGTTAAAAAAAAAAAAAAAGTTAAAAGGATGAAATCAAACTCAAAGTAAAAAAAAGATAAAAAGACAAAACTTGCATTCATTTTTCCCCCTCTTTTTTTTTTTTTTTAATTTTATTTGCCAATTAACAAAAGCTTTTGAGATGTACAATGCCAGGCTGTTTGGTTTTGGAAGAACTCAGATATTCCTGGTGTAGAAAAATAGCCCTGTGGGGTAAGACAGTGAGCACTCAGGAAGGATGAAATAGGGCATATTTGGCTTTTTATGAAGTGTTACTGCACTGGCCTCCAGCTGAGAGAGGTCATGATACTGAAGCCAGTTTGGTCCCAAGTGTTAGGGATCTTTAGAAATTAGCTTTTCTCGGAATGTCCACTATTAGGGACCTATTCAGGTTCATATCATTCCAGCTAGGACAATTCCACTGCTTTTAAGCCACCAGAAAATTTTGCCTCAAAATGTATCCTCTTTGTCTGAAGATTCAAAGATCTGGCATCAGAATAGCGTGAGGGGATTCCACACAATCCCCAAACAAAACAGGCACGAACTCTCAGGTTTTAAACCAGCCTAGGAAACAAAAGGCACAAAAAAACTCCTCATCCCACCTGTGCTTTTTTAGTTTTCACTAGTAAAAATTGATTAAATAAGTTCCTAAAAATAAAAAAACAAATTAAAAAAAAAAACCCAAAAGGCAGCAATTCCTGAGTAGCTGAGGTTTTTAGTCTGCTACAGAAAGTCTTCTCCAAACTTCAAGTACTGATTCTTTTTGTCCAGTTAAAAAAAGTCTTCTTTTTAAAGACAGAAGAAACTGCTGTGCTCTTAGCTGTGACTTACTAGGAGCACAGACAGCGTAGGGCTTCTCTGTGTTAGAAGTTCCTGCTTTGTTTCTTTGTGATTGTATTGAGTCAACCGTTTGAGTGAACAAAGATTTAAATTCTACCCACCACAGCCTGATCAGGATGTTGTTCAGTATCCATACATGGAGAAAGCTTTTCTCTCTGCGATTTTTATATTATTAGATACAACATATACATTGAATACTTTTCACTGACTCTTCAGAGAAAAGACTCATTCAAGTGAAAACAAAAGTGACTGTGGTGGCACAGCCATAATGTATATGATGTTTTTGATGGCAATCAGACACTAACTTTTTTCTATCTTGAAGAATATTCATACTACTACAATTAAATAGAAACTAAACATTAGTTTTTCATAGGTATGCCGTTGTGAAGGCTGTATAAAAATCTTTCAAATGGGGGGAAAAAGGTTCAGAGGTTCAGAATACATAGAGTTAGGGCTGAGTGATCCTCCACATGATGCTTTCCCTCATTTTTCACAATTTCATATACTTTTTATAGATTGGCACCTGAGAAGAGAACTAGAAAAGGTCTGTCTGCATACCCTGGGTTTTTTCAATCTCACTTACTGACTGCTGTAGAGAATAGAGATGGCTCTTCAAAAAGGCTGAACAAACCTTTGGACTGAACCAGGCTTATCAGTACAGGATGTAAAGTAAATTTTTCTTAATTATTTTTGTTACTGTAAGTGTTATTTCCAGCATAGCATAGTATTTCAGTATTTCAACATGAAGACTGTTTGGGCTGAAGATGTTACATAGATGAGTGTTTGCATGTTTTTCTGATTTGCAAGTTTGAACACAAAATAGTGTACTTAAACTTTGGGTTATTATATATTAATTATTCCCTTGTCAGGATTAATAATAAATTGTATAAAAATAGGTCAGAAAAAAAAATATTCAGTGGTTTAGTGTTGTTGTTTGTTTGTTTGTTTTACAGTCCTTATATGGTGTTAGAGTTTCTACAGTTCCAGAACTACCTCTCTTCTATACTCCTATAGACTTAGTGGATATCAGTGTAGAAATGGCTGGACTAAAGTTTCCAAATCCTTTTGGCCTTGCCAGTGCAACCCCTACTACTAGTTCTTCAATGATTCGAAGAGCATTTGAAGCTGGATGGGGCTTTGCTGTCACTAAAACATTCTCCCTGGATAAGGTAAGGAAATATTTTAATATATTTTAATATTTCATGTGTATTTTACATGTAACCATATTTTTGTATAATTGAAAAATCTGAATCTTTGGAGAATGGTTCTGTTATATCCAACTAGCATAAAATAGCAGGGAATGGTTATGACGAATTTTGTAGTTCAGCTACTCTGTGAGCTTTCCACAGTGCAGTGACAAAATTTCTTGTTCTGTTTGTTGTTACATTCTTCCCTTATATTGCCCCAACTTCTAATATTAGTCAACAATTAAGTGAAAAAACTGATTTTTTTAAATACTGCAGTGAAAATGTTTTCTGTGAAGGATCAGAATGTAAAGGGAATGAGTAACAGCTTTGTCACATAACTCATGAAAGGCGAATTCTGTGCCAGAGGCTGCCAAGATAAGCCATTGAACTGGAGATGCAGTTGCAATGTGATCATGTGGCTGCAAGGGGGAGGCTGGGTGGGAAGTAGAAGAGAAAGGTGGAGGCAGCATAAAACCAAGCCTGTGGAGAGAAGAACACAGTGACATCAACCTTCAGTAACATGTAGTGGAGGAGGAAGGAGTCAGAATTAAGTCTTGAAGCCTATGGCTCAGTGTGACACCTTAAAAAAAGCATTTTGTGTAGTTTAAAGCATGCAATTGCTTGTTTGAATTCAGGAGAATTGCAACTTCTTCTTGCTACATTCAAAATGATGAAGTGAGACTGAGCAAGGAGTTGTGAAAGAAAAGAACAGCTTTGATAAACAGATACACAGAGAAAATAAATAGGTTTTGAGCTGAGATGTAGATATGGTTTGACTTGTGGAGAGAGGAAGAAAAGGTGAATCCTTGAACACAGGCCTGAGTAACAGTGTGAGTAATAGCAATGTATTTTGAACCAGTAACATACAGTAGTGTGGGCTGAAGAAAGCTTTTGAATTTAATTTGGATATGAGGTTCAGAGAGGGGATATACAAGGGTACTGATGGATGGAGCAGAACAGAGAAGGTGGATTTGTTCCTCTTCCACCTTTCCATGGGTAAGTACCATAGGTGAATTAACTATAGTGGGTGCCCCTCTAGTATGGGGAAGGTCTAAGGACAAAATGCTGTATGCTGCAGAATACTGTAAAATATGTCAGGCTGGATTCTGCTGTCTCTTACACCTGAAGTAGCCCTGAGGAAGTAAGTGTTCATCTGGATTGCAGATGTGGAGATTCCAAACTACTAAACAGGGCTTCTTATTAAAACACTTTTTAGGACATAAATATCATTCAAGTACGTTTGCAACTGACTTACATGTATAGCATACCATCAGCTGTAATTATTCAGTGCCTAGACTACAGCCAACCCGTAGCAAGTACTGAGACTTATTTTTTTATCAGTTTTATTGCTGGTATGCTGGCAGTTCTGCCAGACTGCACGTTGATTACTGTGCATCTTGAGAGCTAAACAGACACAGGCTGAGTTCCAGCTTGGGTGGGAGTTCAGGAGGAAAGACATACATGTTGTAGGAAGTGATGTTGGTGCTATACTAAGCAGCAGACTCTGAGTCATTTCTAAATGGTGACTGCAAAGTGTTTCACTGGATGCCATGCTCTGGAGGTGTGACTCAGATGAAGATCTTTCAAGATTTTTTTTAAGTATTTGTTGCAATAAGATATTGCAGGTATTATTTAAGTTAGTAAGTTAAGAAAAGTGTTATCTAGTGAATTCTGGTTCAGTGATTGTTATTTCTGCTTAAACTTCATTCTAATATTCTGATATTGATTTGTGTTGTGTCTAATAGAGCTGTGTCCCACCCAAGTGCTGCCTAGTTTTTCTGTTACTGTGTTCTTCCTAGTACTGCACTTCCAACAGGTGTATTTGTGGCATGATTTGAGATGTTTGGCTGAGAGGTACTGCAGAAGCAAAATTGCTTTTATTTATCAGAGTAACATGGTACCTAATACTTCAAAAGTAGTTATTTCAAATGGGAAGAAAAGCTCAGTAGGGTACCACAGCTCTTATATGAACTGAGTATTATGGAAAGACTGTTCTTGTTGACTTAATGCTAGAACAAGTGTCTGGTAGAGAGTTGCCATAATATGCTGACTTCTTTTTTTTTTTTTTTTTGCTAATTTAGCTTCTGAATATGTAGACATAAATCTTGTACAGTTTTCAGCAGGGAGCAGAATGCTCTCTTGATCTGTGGTACCAACGGTGGGGATTTCAGACTGAGCTGTCCTGCCCTGTCAGCTAGTCAAAGCAAACTACACAGCAGGATCAAGAGCAAAGATTTCCTGATCTAAGCCTGCGGAGTTGGTGGGAGGAGGGGGAGCAGCTCCCCAGACAGAACAGTTCCCAAGAGTGGAAGAGCTTCTGAGAAGGGAGAGAGCTTGCTAGATGCAGTTTTTGGCAGCTGAAGCTTTTCCACTTCAGCCTTGATTGTATGTGGTGCAAGTAGGATTCTGTGCTCTTCTCTTGTATCCTCATTTTATCTGTCCTGGTAAAACTTAACTGATGGGCTTCATTCTGATTTGCCAAGCATAACCTGCCTATGTGGCCATGGAGAATTTAGCAGCAGAAATTCTCCCTTTTCCAGAGCCAATGACTGAATTTGCCACTTTGTTCAGATACTGATAGAGCAAACCAGTGAATTCCCTGTTTACCATGGGCATCCTTTGGCACTTCAATGAAAGGGACTGATGCAGGCTAAATATGAATGAAATGAAAAGATATACCCAATCACAAATGGTGGTGAAAAGCATACACAGCCCAATCACAAATTTCCATACATTAACTACGGTGTGATGGAATAAGGTCAGAGAGAAAAGCATGATAAATCTTGGAAGAAGGCGATCCAATGATAGAGATAAAAAGGATTCAGGTGAAGAGCTGTGATTCTCATAAGACACAGGATTTATTTCATATCAGCTACTTCTCCTTTTCTCTCTTCCATCATCTGGCACAGAAAGCTCTTCTAAAACACAAGGCCAGGGATCCCTGCAGCTCATGTACTGCCTTGTACAGAGGAGCTGTTGGGTAACAGTGCTGGAGTTCAGCCTCTGGACCATAATTTACTCCCCTAGTCTTTCTAATCCTCATGTATCTTGGCCTCACCTTGAAAGCTTCACACGCTGCCCAGAGGGAGTTAGCACAGAGCGCACTGTTTGGTGCCATGCTCGCTCCCTTTTTAAACACCCACGTACCTTGCTCATAATTGTCTTCATGACAACCTTTGTAGCATTTTCTCTTTTTAGGGTAAGTATTTCAACCGGGAGTGATTCAGCAAATTTTTTTCTTGAGTACTACTATACTATTGTTAAAACCTACAAAAAAAGCTAATGTAAGAAATAGCTGAAATTCCTTCAGGGTATTTATACTTCAAAATATACTGCGCTCTACATACTTTAGAAAGTGCTGGATATTAGTATAGAGTAAACATTAATCATAGGGGATTGCCTCTGTATGTGTCTGATGGTATCTAGGAGGGAGATGGTGACTTGTAGAATTTTATTTATTAAATTAAAAGTCTTTGCACAGCTGCTTTAGTATCAACTAGATTTGATTTCTTCCAGAAAAGGGAATAACTGCTTTTGAAATGGACAATCACTAGGAAAGACAAATGGTAGCAGGATAGAAGTGTCTCTTCACACACATTTTTCTACATTCATGCCTTCCCGTTTTGACTGCAGGATCAATAGCTCATTGCTCTGTTGGTTCAAATAGTATTTCTGTCTTGTTCAGATAACTGTATGCAGCAACGTTATTTGTAAATTCTGTTTGCAAGGCGTTGAAGGGAAATGGGGGAGCTGCATATCATATAGTCCACAATAAATGGATACCAATTATTACCTCTTTTAGAGCTTAGATGAACAGAAAACTACACGCAGAATGACACATACTGCATTAATTAGACACATAACTGTGAGTGGGAGGGTTTTAGGAGAAATGTTATAGTAAGCTGGATTATTTTCTAGGAATTTATTAGTGAGTATTGTTTAGAACACAAAATTTGTATTAAAACCTGTAATCAGAAAGTTTGTATAAACATAGTATCAAAATAAATCAAAGGTTATATGAGGTGTGTACATCCCTGTGCCATATTCACTACCACAGTGAGGAGTTTATAGCAGAAATTAGGGTTTTATCGGCTGAATTCAGGCTTTGTTGTTCTTTCAGTGCATTGTATGGGCTGTTTAGAAAGATAAAAAAACAACTGGGTTAGCAGAAATGTTTGCTTTGATTTTTAGATGCTTCCTTCACTTCTAAAATTTAATTCTGATTAATCAGATACATCTGTCTTTATTTTGTTGTGACATGCATTGATTTGTGATGCTGTCGCTTTCAATAATGCAGAAACAGTTGCCTTTATTATGAGAACCAGCAGAAATCAACATGCAGACTAACTTCATTTTTAATCTTTTCTTTTTTTTTTTTTCATTACATATGGAGCAAGTTGTGTGGATGATTTTAAAAACAAGCTACAATTAAAACTAGATTAAATCTGAACTAAACCATAGCGGAGGAAACTTTCTAGCTGTAATATATGTTTATGCAGTTTACAGATGTAGATTTTACAATACATTTTCAGAGCCATTTCGAAATAAAGATGATTGCTGATAGAGAATTAATTAATTTGTCCAGTATATATTGCATTTCTATGTGCTGTTATTACAATATACATATTCAGGCTCCAGCTAGTTCTTTCTCTGTACATTTGCACTGTGTGCATCTCGCTTCATAATTGAAGGTGGTAAAAAATCATAGTACAATGATGCATTGTTTTCCATAACATTAGTATTTCAAAGAAGTGAATCTGTATTACAAAATGTATATTTTTGTATGATATTACAGCATAGTAATTTAGATTAAACTAGTTATAATTTATGGTGCCAAGCCAAAAAGCTATTTAAGATGCATTAAAATGCAGAACCATGACATTTGAAATTCTGATGTTCTTAATATGACAAAGGTTATTCTATGGAGTTTTGCTATAATATGAAATATTAATATTTCACAATACAGTTTTGATGAAGTACAA